GGTGTGTATAGTCTTCTGGTTCAGATGACACTCTGCACTAATGACCATCGGTCCTCAGAAGACCCATCCTTTCAATGGCTGTTGCTCAGGGAAGTTGTAATGTGAGCAGACCCACCACGCAGTCACGCAATCCCGTCGTGCATGGGGCGGGGCTGCAGGACAGGGGCGGGGCCACGGGGTGGGGCGGGGCCACGAGGCGGGGGCGGGGCTCTGACAGGAGAGCAGCATGGGCACAGAAGGACAGAAGTGTCCCCCGAGGCTCAGCTCAGCACCAGACACCGCCGTGCAGACACTTGGTGTCACGACCAGCAGCGGCTCAGCTGCCCCCTCAGAGGGGCCCGGGTGGGGAAACCTAGGCTCCCCCGCTGAGAACCCCTATCTGAACGGCCCGTGTGTTCCCTCCTCACGGTGAGCCTCAGGCCCGTGTGACACGAGTGACAGTTACTTTGATACGAAATCGTGAGTGAAGTGAAGCGCCGTCAGCTGCCCAGTCCCCCCAGCGGCCTCATCGTCATGTCGGCGACTTAGAAGGGAAGGCGCCGACAGCAGGGCTGGCGGCTGGTGTCCCTCGCAGGTGTCCCCTGATTTGCTGATTTGCTGGCCCCGCCTTCACCCCTTGCAGCCCACGCGAGTCCTCCTGTCGCACTTCCTCCCTCCGTCCGTCTCCACGGCCACGATTGGTTAAGATGCCGTGCGGTTTGGAGCCGGCAGCTGTGGTTTTTCTCTGCAAGGAGCTGACTCCCTGGAGGGACGTGAGCGCCTGACATGACGTCCCTGGGTCACCTTTCGGGAGCCGCGACCCCAAGCCTGCCGCGCCCCAGCTCGCCCTGTGGCCACGCACCATCCTGGCAGAGCTGCCTCCGTGTCGCTCCGCCCCGTCCAGGTCACACCGTCAGCACCTCACGGTCCAGCCAGTTTGGCGTCTCCCCGTCTTTGCTGCTGCTGCTTCCCGAGGCCTCGCTGTGGCCATCGTCACACTCTGCTGTCGTGACCTCGCGTTAGTTTTCTGCACGGAGGAACGGCGGCCTCACGTGTTGGGATTCACGTGACCGGGGGCTGTGCCGCCGTGTGACCGGGGTTCACAGTAGTCCTATGGCATCACAGAGGCTTTGGGTGACACGCGAACTTGGTGTGTGTCGTGTGAAGACTCGGTTGCAGTGTTGGGTGACGAGCAGGGACCCGCCCCTCACATCAGCCCAGCCTCCTGCCGGGACGCGTGCGCCTCCCGCTGCTCCCACGCTGTTGTCCTGCTGCCGCTGGGGGACCCGTGCACGTCAGACAGCTGCCTTCCTGTGGGGTTTCCCTGGGTCCCGGGGGCAGGACAGGCCATTGTGCCCACGTTCACGGGCTCTGCTCGGTGCGCCGCGTTCCTGGCTGGTGAGGTCCCCAGCCGTGGGGACAGCAGGCTGCTTTCTGAGCCGAGGGACAGCAGGATAGAGGAGGAGCGGCCCAGAGAGCAGCTGGCCAGGCGCTCGCTCAGGGAGACCCCTTGGGGTGGACATGACATGGTCAGGGAGTGGAAGTAAGTGTCATCATGATAGGGCCACTGGACCACCATGAATGTGGGTCCCTGGTCTGGATGTGAGCTGTTATTTCGGACTGTGTTCCTGATCGTGAGGCTGATAATGTCTGAGACTGTGACCCGTGTAAGTGAGGGGACAAGACTTTGACCCAGCACGCTTTCCGTCTACCGCTGCTGGCTCCCGGCCAGAGCGTTCACTGTGTGCAGGACACCCGGGCACAGGGAGCTCCACCTGCTCCCTGGAGGGGAGCGTGTGCCCCAAAGAGCCGCACCCCCACCACCTCTAAGAACCCCTGCTATTCGCGATGCACCCTTAGGGGAACGCTCTGTCACACTGCAGCATAGTCACAGGTTGGTGGCTCTGTGTCCTGGGCTTAGAACACGCAGAGTAACAGCTCCTCCTCGTGATCTTGCTGGAAATCACTTTTGAGAGGGTGGGGCTTAAATGCACTGACGGTTGAACTGAGGTGGCGGTACCTGAAGGCTTGCGCTCCGGAGGGCTCGATATGCCACTGGCTGAACTGCCTTCTTTTTCTGAACAAGCTTTGATTCCCGGACTTGCAGTCCCTGAAGGTACCGATTGCTGAGCTGTGCTCTTGTACCATTACTGCCTTTGAACTTGGGGGTAATTTTCATCGTATAACCTGTGATGGAGGTTAAATATACTGGGGCAAGTCCGGTCATTGGCGGTCACTTTGGATGCAAATTCCGGTTACAGTTACACTAGTGGCAAAAAACCAGTTTCTGATTCATGACCGAAGCAAACAAACAGCCCCGTGTTGAGTGTTGGTCCTCCTGGGGGGTGAGGGAGGGTGGTCATAGCTGGTGGTGGGGCAGGCGGTTAAGTCCAGTCTTCTCGGGCCACTCCTGGGCCCTGGGGCTGTCCCCTCTTCTTGTCCCCACCCTCAGCTGCTTGGAGTGCTCCGCAAAGGTCTGGGCAGTCACCTCTGTCTTCCCTGTAGACGGGGTACCTCCCTGAGGCACCTGGAATATTCTGGTCTCTGCTCTGCCTTGTCACCATGAAAAGAGTCTGGGTCAGGGGACACCAGGCTCTGGTCTTGTCATGTGGCCTCAGACAGGTCCCTTGACGTGGTCAGTTCAGTGGTTTTGTGCACAGTGTGGTCAGTGAGGGGAGCCCACCTGGAGGGTTCGCCTGGAGTGTGACCGTGTGCAGTGTGGAGTGACAGCCTCTGCCCTGAAACTGGGAACTCTTCGTTACAGACGTGGATGGGCTCTCTCTCGTGCTGGGACCCCTCAGAGCTGTGGACTGGGAACGCTCATGACACCTTTCAGCAGAGGGCACTCTGGGCAGCCTTCATGTTTGGTTTGGGACAAGTAAACCTGTCTCGAGCCCAGGTCCTCCTGCTCTTGTCCTGAGGAGCCCTCAGAGCTTGGCTCCCAGTTTCGTCAGCCTGTGTTTTGTGATTCCGTGGCTTCTTGCGGGGCCTCAGCTCCTTGTAAGACCGGAAGCGTCTCTTTCAGGTTTCTGGCAGATAAGTGTGGCGGCCAGGCTCCCACTGTCCACCCAGGTGACCGCATTGCTGCTGTTCCCTCTGTGGGTCCTGGGGGTCCGTCCTTCCTGGGGAGGGATGCAGTGGTCACATCCACAGTCGGTTCCCTGCCTCTGCCTCCCTTGCCCACCAACAGCGCTGTGTCCCCTGCAGCCCAGACCCCAGCACAGGGCGCCTGGCCTCTGACATACAGGCCCCGCTGATGGGCACACCCCTGAACCGCAGTGAGGGGCCCCCACGCAGACCCTCAGCGAGAGCACTGAGTGTTCCCTGGTCAGCTTTGCACAGTGGCTGCGGGACGCGCCTCACGCCTGGACCGGGTCCGTGTTGCGGGCACCTCAGTCCTGAGGCGTGTCTGCGTGTTGGCCATGTGTTGCTTGTGGCTTCCGAGAAGAGGGCGGCCCTGTGTGCCTGGCCCCTCCTTTCAGAGTGGCTGGGCTTCCAGGTCCCAGGCGCCCCGTTTGGACCTACGGATTCACCAGTGATTTGGCGCTGGGCTCAGTGCTTTGTGTGCAAAGGGGGACGTGCCATTGGTGCTGCCCGCAGTCAGAGCAGAAGTGGCCAGGCCTTGGCCGCTGTGGTCTGGTCTTGGTCCCCTCCCGCCTCCACCCACTCTGTGAAGGGAAGGGAGCAGCAGTCCTGAGATCTGTCCCCCAGGTGTAAATTGTCCTGTCTCCTAGAAGTCGAAACACTTCAATCGGGTTTAGTTTTAAAGAACAATTTTATTTCCTCTTACACTCAGATGTCCTCCCCACGCCCCTCCTGCGACACACAGGTTGAGTTGAGCCTCGGTGTGGACTTTGTCCTGTCCCTCTGCCTGTCTGTCCCCACCCCCATCATCTGGTTCCAGGCCACCATGGGATGGTCCTGAGGAATGGCAAACACGCCGCTACTGCCCACCTCAAAATCCAGTGTTGGCTCCTAACTTTTGTCCCCCCAAACCTCCAGTCCTCTTAGGAAGTTCATTTCCCTCTCAAATCATCCTTGTGTACCTTCCCAGCCTTGTCCGACATCAGTCCTGTCCCCAGCCTGTCCTCCACCCCGGCTCTCCGTTGGTCACCTGCCTCTCTGCCTTTGTCCAAGCCTGTGCCTTGACTTGGGGTGTTTCCAGCCCATGTTTCTTCTGTCTGTTGAAAACCCTGCTGTCCCTCGAGATCCTGCCCAGATGCCGTGTCTTCCGGGAGCCCTTTGCTGTCCCGAGACAGAAGTGTGCGCGGCCCCGGGAGCCGGCGGGGAAGAAACCCAGGCTCCCCGCGGTGCTCCGTGAAGGCCAGCCCTGCACCGGCTTCCTGAAGGCACTTGTCACTCACCCCTGCTGTCCCTACATGCGGATGTCATTGTTCCCGTTGTAGAGCTGAGGGGTTGAGTCATCTGCCCAGAGCCACTCAGGAAAATGGACAGTGGCTGACGTCAGCCTTGCCCCGAGTCTGGACTCTTTCCCACGAAGGACGCGTGTGTTGGAAGGACTGACAGCTGCATGCACTGTGCGTGCTCAGCCCCTGACGTGCGTCCGTGTGCCCGGAGCCGCCCCATCAGGCCTCAGGCGATAGCTGCAGGTTTAGTGATTTTACAGAAACACAGTGTCATACTTAGGCTCATAGTCATTTGTGCCTGAAATAAGCTGTAATGTAACAGCTGTAATCCAGGTAAGGTTTAGGCATTAAAATTAAGTCATAAAATAGACCGCCCTGATTTCAGCAGTTTGTGTGTTGAGCACATACAATATGAAAATGTTTCATGTGTGCATAAACGTGACAGATCGTCCCGGCTCGAAAACGTAACGCAGAAAACATTCACCAGTGGTAGTTTTTGGAGTAAGATTTGCACAGTGAGGTGGGCAGGCTGTGTCTGCTGTGCCGTGTGTGGGGGGGGTCTGCGTGGGGAGTGGGGGCGTGGTGATGGGGGGCCGCTGTGCGCGCTGCGGGGCTGCCCGCGGCCCGAGTAACCGCCTCTCTCTCTCTCCACAGAGTCCCAGTGCGCGCTGTGCGGGGAGCCGGAAGGTGAGTGTGCGTGGGCGCCCCGCAGCGGGCCGGGCTCGGGCTCACGGGTCGCGTTCACGGTGCCAGTAGGTGACAGACGGTCTGAGGGCACCCCGGACATCGGGAACTTACTCTGTGTGGCGTTTGATGGAAAAGCGAGTAAAGTGAGCAGCGCAGAGCGCGGCACCAGAGTTCGTCTCTGAAGGGACGGTGATGTCACATGTCAGGACCAAATGCCTTTCCTATTTCGGATTTAGAGGTTTTAGTTGGTTTTCTGCAGGCAGTAAGCGTCAGCATTGGAAACGCATATTTCTCATGTGTAGACATATTGGCCAGCATGCTGTGAGCTCCCGCGGGGCGCCGCTGCAGGCCCAGTCCTGTCAGCCGCCGACGTGCGGGGCCTGCGTGCAGCCTGCCGCCGCGCGGGCTCCGACCAGCGCGGTAGAGTCGGATTTCGGCTGAGCTGCACGTCTGAGCACCTTGCAGGGTGGAGTTTCTGAGCACAGCCTGTTAAGTATGTTCCAAACCAGTGGGAGCCAGAATTTCTGTCACATTTTGATGACAGAATAAGAAAGGATAAAGAAGAGGTGGTGAACACCTGCCCCATTCACGCGGCCTCTGAATTCATAGTTTTGATCTTGTTGTCTGCTCTCAGCAGAAACAGACAGGTTGGCCAGAAACCCATCAGCCTCAGGGAGACGGGGGACAGCCCAGGCCGACCCTGCCCCGCCACGGGGACCGTTGGTGCTGGGGGGTGGCTGGAGGTCGCCGTGTGCGCTGCGCTGTGTAAGCTACACTGCACTCACTGCAAACGTCTCCTCCACCCACGAGCTGAGAAAAAACTGAATATGCGGTTAACGGAAATGCCATCAAAACCCTATTTCTCCAATGTTTGTGTACTTGAAGTTAAAACAGTTTTCAAAATTCTTCCTGTGTTGTTTAGGAAGGTGATGCATAGAACAGCCATGACAGAGTCAGTGTCTTGGAAGTCTTACGCTTTGCTGTCACGTAAAGCATGAGACATTGGACCCTGGTGTCTCCAGGGTCAAGGGCCACGCTGTCGCATGGTTTCAGGTATGGCCCCACTGCCACGCGAGCTCACATGCTGTGGGTGACTGCGCGTTTCCCCATGTGTGCCGTCCTGCAGGCGCTCGGGGGCTTTGTTAGCCCTCGTCCATTGTCGTCCGCACACAGCATGTGCGTCCCGTTCTGTCTTGCTATTTAATTTTTTGTCACCTGCCACAACACACACGTACATGCACACAACACACGGGCATACACAACAGACGTACCATACACAGCACACTCAACCCACAGCACACATACACACAGCACATCTCACACACACACACACACACACACACACACACACACACACACACTGCTGGGGGAAGTCCCCGTGTGCTGTGCACACTGGAGAACCCGTTGCTCGCCTGCAGGGCATCATGTTCTCATCTGCTCGTTTCTGTTAACACACGCCATTCTTTGCATGGACGGCTGTGTGAACTGTGGCGAGTGGTTTGCAGTTTGCTGTCATAAAGAGCAGGCTTGGGCCTCAACAAGTCAGCAAACTCATGTCATGAGCCAAGGCTGAGTCAGGCTGGAGAGTTCCCTCAGGGGTCCATGCTCAGCAGACATCGCAGTAGTGGGGTCAACTCTGGAGTGGCCCCAGGCTGACCCTGATGGCCACTCAGTCTTCCACACGGCCAGCGCCTGAGCATCCTGGCTGCAGGCCCAGAGCCTGTGGGTCCAGCGCCTTCAGACAGCTGACCAGAGCCAGCCTGTTCTGGAGTCTCAGGTGTGCTTTCCCCGGCAGCCTGCTGTGGCCTAGCTTCCTTGTCACATAGATTGTCAACCCTCCCCAAAGGTGTAACAGTGTCATGAGAAGAGGGGAGACACATGTTTGTCATTGTCCTGGGGGCAGACACAAGGAGTATTTAGAGTGAGACCGACTTGACTCCATGGAAAACAAAGCCCAGCTGTCTGGGGGAGGAAACCTGGAGGGCTGGTCCCATCGGGCTGGGGCGGGTGACCATCCAGGAACGGCGGACATGGGGTAGCGGTGGGCTAGCTACTGCCCGCCCCGTCTCTGCTCCACTGTGCATCTCTGAAGCCATTTGGCAGTTCAGACATGCAGGTGGAGTCGCTCCAAATCAGAGAAGGAGGCCAGGCAGGATTTGATGGCATGGGCTCAGCTGTGCTGTGTTTTTGAAAAGCACTATCATATGAATATTCATACATTTTAAAATCACTTAAGTAATTAGTCTAAGTGAGAGCTGGCTGGGCGCAGTGAGTGGAATCTGAAATCAGCTTTTTTGTTTGGTAATTTCTTCGGCAGCGTCTATCAGTTAACTCATGAGCACCTTTGCATAGAAAGGATCACAGCCAGAGGCTGAAGACAGAACGCTGGAGATCTGGGCCCCCGGTGTCCTACATCCAGAAGGTTAAGGCACCAACTCATTCAGCTTCTCGCTTTCTTGTCAGGAAGCTGTTAGCAGCCTTTCACTGTTAAGCCAGTGAAGTGGGCACCCCATTTGCATTTTGGTGATTACTTCTTTCGGAGAGAGGTGCAGACTGAGTAATTAGCATCGTCTCAGATGATAGTATCTGTCGAGCCAGCGAGACTGGGAATGAAGTTTACAGGACGCTGGAGACCTCAGATTCTGCAGTTATGAATCCCTGAAATGCTGTGGCCTGTTTTCCATGAAACTAAAAATTTTAATTGTATATAAAACATAGATCACAGTTTCAATATGTAAACACATTGCAAAGTTTCTGAAATCGGGACGACTGTTTTTATGGGGTGAAATATGTAATGGGAGGTGTTGATTAGTATCTTTCTTCCTACTCAGACGATGCAGACAATTCAACCCTGACTCTTGACGGAGAGGAGCAGGAAAGGGGCGGAGCCTTTTAGTTAATCAGCTTCCTCGTGCCGTCGGAAGGCAGAGTCACTCTAGTGTTTCAATAGCTAGGGACCTGTGCCCCCCAAAATAAAAAGTAAGTTTAAAATTTACTAGCAACAGTCTTATTGTTAAAATAATTTGCTGTAGGGGCCGGCCGAGTGGTGTGTTGGTAAAGAGATGGCTTGGGACGCCAGCTCTGAGCAGCAGGGCCCTGGTTCAGATCCCACATGAGGGCCAGTGACACTGCCCTCTACAGCTAAGATGGTGAACAGCAGCTCAACCTGGAGCTGGGCTGCCATGAATCGCCGGCGACGGTATAGGCTGCAGTGGGGCTGTAGTGGGCTGCCATAAGCTACTGTGTGTGGCCAGCAGCCGGTGTGAGCTGCCAAGAGCCACCGTGAGCGGCCGTCCAATGGCCAGCGAGCGACTGCCTCACCTGGGAAGAGCGCAAAAATAACACCAACATGGGCCAGTGAAGCGACGTCCTCCACAACTAGACTGAAGAACAAAAGGACAGCAACTTGTCTATACCCCTTTCCTGATTCCCTAACACTGTTCCCTCCCCCAATTCCCCAATAAAATCTTTTTAAAAAAATTGCAATAGTAATATAAGAAGACTGTTTCAATTTGTATCATTTTCCTAGTGGTTCCTGTTACTTTTTAGACATTGGCAATAACTGGATATTATGTGTCAGGAAGACCACTTTGTATTCTATATTGACCTTGCAAGTGTTCCAAGGGGCTTTGTATGATGTAACCCATCAATTCTGTATAGGAGATCAATTTGAGAGTATGTAATCCATGTCAAGCCATACTGACAGATACATGATGTCACCGGCTTTTTAACAAGACCACGAGGAACGTGGTGGACATTGGGTGGGACCACAGGTGTCAGTTCATGGGTTTGTCTATTTGTTTACATTTCTGTGGTTCAGCCTGTCCTCCTGGCAAATAGATTTTCTGATGTGGGCACATGAGTGCTGGTCAAAATCCATGACAGAGTGATAACAATGTCTTGGGTCTGTTATTTAACCTGAGTAAAAGTAAGGAATAAAATAAGCTATTACGATATAAATTTTGCACAAAGGGATAGGCTACACAATGTGGGGCGGGTGTTGGCACGAAAAAGCTTTCAGTGGAGGAGGCCTCAGAGCTGCAGCTTCCAAAGCAGTGGATGTTTGAGGAGACATGAGCGTGTGCTGGGTTATTTGGGAAGCGTTGCTTGTAGAAGTCCCATCCCAAAAGTAAAATAGAGGTCTTTAAAAAAGTTTAAGGTAAGAGATTTTTCTTCCTAAATCTTTTTTTTTTCCTTTGACACAAATTGCATTGTGCTCTTGGGGTTTTGGACAGACGCACAAACTGACCTTTCACTGCAGACAGAAGTTCCCGCCTGTCCCCTCACACCTCAGGGAAGGACAGCGGAGGTACATTCCTGTGTTAGTAGCAAATGTTCTTGATTTTTAAATACAAGTATTCAAGATTTCCCCATAAGTGACTCTAAACAGGGAAATTTCATACTGTTTTGTACCATTGACTATGTATCACCTGAGATTTGAAGGCCTCATCACAAATGAGAAAAAATAAGGTTGCTTTCTGAAAACTGAGCATCAAAGGTTTTAGAAAGAAGCATTTCTACCCCCTCCCACCTCCATCCCTATGTCTGTCCCTGGAGAGGAAGGCTGTCACCTTTCCAGGTACAACTGTTGCCCCCCTCATTTTGAGAGTGTACCTTTTTAATTGTATGCTTTGGATAAAATGGTGTTTCCTGATTTCCATTCTCGGACGGTTAGTGGAATATAACCAGCATTTGTTAAGTTGTCAACATGTGCCAGCACTCTAGACAAATTTAGGGTTGCTTAGGAACTAAGAAATTCAACTACTTTTAGAGAGAAAACAGAACTCCACTCTAGCCATCTGTCTGCCAGAACCTGAAAATGGTTAGTGTTTTACTGGAAATCGGAAATTGTCTGGGGTGAGAGAGGGATGCTGTTCCCCCTAACAGCATGTGAAGGCTAAGCTGTGAGGACTCTCCGCCCAACCCCCCCCCGCCCCCCACAAACACATAAACTCGCTGTGTGATGTGTATCAGACTCTGTTTTCAGTGTTCCGTTGAGC